TTCGACTGGAATAAAAAATCATCTGTCAAAGTAACACTCGTGATTGCACGTTTACTCTGCAATATCTACGATGCGCATGTCTCAACGCAGACGCATTTTTTGGAGAAATCGGAGGAATTTACAACGCCTTTTATATCTACACGATGCAATACACGGTGGTACTCCTCGGATTCGAAACAGGTTCCTGTGGTTTTGGAAGCCGATGCTATAGCCACCATAGCCAACCAGCAAAAGAAGCGCCGAAGTACCCTCCTGCACATGGTACGTCTTTGCACATTAAACGTTATAATAGAGAGTTATAGTATACCGGGCTTACCGGGTGTACCGTGATACCGGAATCGAAGTGCGCATGCGCAGATACGTACGTCACCCGTACCGCTTCCCGTACGCGCGGTATTTTTCAGATTTCACGTTACCGTGGTAGCGTAGGTGTACGTAGTGTACGTAAACATGGCGGCGCTCTCGGACGCCCGCTTCGAAGTGATTTTGGCGTAGTTGTTAAAAAATTCACCTTGTTCGCAGCAAACTACTGTTCACAGTGGCTTCGCTTGCCTTCAGTTAGCTTCGATGACCGAGTATTACGGATAAGTTGGCGTAGTTTTTGAGATAGCTTCCCATTTCCAACGCGTCTAGGCCTAACTACAAGATCGATGTAAACAAATCGGCAACGTGAACGTTTTTGCGTTTGGTGCGTGGTTCATATTTATTTACATTTAATATCACTAAAATAAACTTCTAATAATGCTTCGCATGGTGGCATAGGCGAACATTCTCGTTTTCTTATCATTTTCACTGTTTAACTTATTAACCGTATAATAGGTGGCGCCACCATCCCAGCTGAGGTACGTAAACCACGTAAACGCTATCCCGCTAAACTATAAGACGCTGCCCACGACGAACGTTTGCTGCACGGTAACGCCATTTCCTTAACCTACGCTATGATGCTAACGCTAAACTATAGCCCTTTAATGCCTTGGGTCTGGGGTAAACGAGCCAGTTTTAACGTACAGGGGCGGACTGAATACACCAGAGACACAGATACCAGTGCCCAGCAGGTTTTTATCTTGCCTCGTTTTTTTTTTATCTTGTGATGCCATGTTTGTGTATACATGTAAAGAAAGCGTCAGGAAATAAAACAGTTCATAGTATGCATTCTGAGTTTGTAATGTACTCAGACCGTTCCTGTACGTAACAAAAAGAAAAAAAATGGGGTGATTACCAAAGATGTAGAATAAACTGGCCCCTCTAGTTGCTGTTATTGTCATAACGCCGTCAGTTCATGGAGTCTGCGCATTCGTACTGTGTGTTTCTGTGGCGAGTGCGTTGGAAGTTCAGTCGAGCCCGCCTACATTAAAACTGGGTATCCCAAATAACCCTTTATATCAAACTATTTTCAATCGAGGCAACGCCTTAACTTCAACTAATAGGAAAACCTACGGCTATATTGAACAAAAACAGGTGGAGCACTCGATATATCAAACGCCAGGTACTTACAAACACTTGCAAGATGTTCGGTTTTTGTCAGAAACTTCCGAATTTTCCTCGTGGTAAAGGACTTATGTGCATTTGAGAGACCGGGTGATGTGGTTAGAAGGACGTCGCGCGGACCCACCACATTGCGCTTATTTTATTTCTTTCTTTGTTCTGCTAGTTCGATAGGTGTGAACTCGACTGTACGCGCGACAAATATGCGATACAATGCAGAGTTCTTGATTTCGAGTTAAGCATCGTGACAGTGGTGGATATCCTGCATTGTGACACAAGCCTGTACGATCCTTAAAATATTAATGAACGGCGCCGGTTGCGTCACAGATCCTGTCGCCTTCGTCATACACACTGCACCCGTATGTATGTATGTATGTATGTATGTATGTATGTATGTATGTATGTATGTATGTATGTATGTATGTATGTATGTATGTATGTATGTGTGTGTAAGTGTGTGTGTGTGTGTGTGTGTGTGTGTGTGTGTGTGTGTGTGTGTGTGTGTGTGTGTGTGTGTGTGTGTGTGTGTGTGTGTGTGTGTGTGTGTGTGTGTGTGTGTGTGTGTGTGTATGTGCGTACGCAAAACGAATGTCTGCATCTATATTTTTGATACATTCAATAATGTTAGTGTCTTAAGGTACAAGATAATGCTGTAGAAGCACCATCAAGCGAAACAATAAAAGTCGACCTGACTTCTGGTTCTCAAGTTAATATCGCTGTTACTAAGACACCTGAATAAATTTAACGACAGTGACACGTGTGTACGCTTCCGCCAGAGCGCTCCAGCGAGCATAGGCAAAGGCAGGGAGGTTTGCGCGTCACTATTCGTAGAGAAAAGTCACGTGCTCACCCACCCAGACTCACTCGGTCTGCTCGATTTGAGTCCGAGTGAGTTGACTCATTGGTGACTTGGCCGACCAATGGCCCTGAACATCGAGTTCTACGCTCCGGTCTCTCGCAACCCTGCCTGGCGTCCTTGGACTTCCAAGTCCTCGGTGCTTGAGCCGCGACAGCAAATCGAGGACTAAACCTTAGTCACCGCTGCAAGTTTTGTGGAGCATTGGTGCCTGAATCATTGCTGTAATTTGGCCGGTCCAAGTTTTTAAGTGAGAAGCAGCGATTTTGACTTGACTCTGTACGGGCGAATCATTTACCTGAAATACGCGAACCACTTTCCTGAAATTACTTACCTGAAACACAGGATGGCAATGAGCAAATGCTGCTGGATATGGCATCTATGAAAATGCCCCCGTAGTAGGAGAGCAATAGGAGGGGGGGGGGGATAAAATAAATAAATAAAGGAAAGAGACAGGGCGGTTACTCTCGTACAGAACGGTTTTGTAGCTGCACAGGGGTGAGGTAATAAGGGTCAAAAAGAGGATAGATAGATATATATAAAAGGAAGAAAGAAAGAGAGAGAGAAAGAAAAGAAATACTCTTGTACACACACTCGGGACGCTCCAATGAAAGTCGTTTGGAAAGAACGGTTGAACGCAGAAAGCACGGGAGCACAGGCACAGCATTCTTCTGTGACCTAAAGTCCTGTCGGTGGTGTGGGATTCTGGTTTCCGATACAGTCTGGTTGTCCAGTTGATCGAATGCATGGCAGAGTGAATGTCTCGCTGAGCAGTACTGCAGGCATTTGCACAGAATATGCGTAGTTGTTTCATGATTATTACCACGTGTTGGTCATTTCTATGCGGAATGCGTGTGCATTGTTAATGTGACATTCAACCATAACCTGCGCATTGGGATAGCATACCTTCGTCGTAGTCTTGGAAGAATTTAGACGTTAGAGTTGACTTTAGGGTATGTGATAGTGCCTGCGTAAAGTGTGACTCTTTGACTCGTTCCCTTGCGACGTGGTGCGTTCACGAGCAAGCTTGCGGAGCATCCGTGAAGCGTCAGCTCTGGAGAGCGGAATTGATACTTGATTGTTTTCAGTATGGGCTGAACGGGCAGCTCGTTTGGCCCTTTCATTGCCAATAATTGCACAATGACTTGGAAGCCATTAAAAAAGGCTATTGCATGTCCTTTCTCGGTTAAGTGCTGTGTCTCTTCTGCAATCTGGAACGCCAGTTGTTCTTGCGAGCCGTGGGGTAAAGCTGAGAGAAGGGATTGCAGGGCCGCCTTGAAATCACTGAAGATGGTCGAGCGTCTGTGTTCTTTTTATTCGTCGTCGTCTCGTGCACGCTGTTCAGCCAAAGTAAAGATAGTCCATTTTGGTGCCCTTTCATCGTGCAATAAGGTACGACGAGCTGTGAGCTTTGCTGGCCACTATAATCAAATTCAGGACTTCACTTTACGAAATCGACAACTGGGTGTGGAGCTTGCACATATTGTCACGTTGTAATCGATGAAGCGTAAAGGGAAGACAGGAAATTATGCGAGCAGACGAGATTAGAAGGTTTTCCGGTGTTATGATGGTGGTGAAAAACTTTATTCGTCAAAAGGCCAGCGAGTAAAATCATATTTAAAAAGTTGAATAGGCTGCGCGGCAGCGGAAAGCACAGCACCAGGTACATTGGCGGGACGTTGAAGAGGCCTTGGCCCTGCAGTTCGCGTAGTCAGGCTGATGAAGAGGATGATAATGTAACGACTAGATTTGTCTATTTGATTCATCTGACAACTATCGTGTGACGTCCCACTTAGGCATTATGAGAAGGTACCGCGCTTCTAGGAGGTAACTTTTGCCTATACTAAGAGTGGCGTAAGCACTCTTGTTTGTTTTATCTCGTCACATTACAGCTTGCTTCGTGATTCCTCCTTCGCGCGGTTTTCTGTGACCTTGCTATGTGTCTTTTGATGTTGGTGAACTCGTGTGACTTTCTCGTCGGCCTCAAGTGACCCCTGTTGTGAGCCGTGTTGAGTCAACTTGTTGCCCGACTTCATGTTTCCCGTAGCGTGTCAGTTCCGGCGAGCTTGCGGTTATCCGGTGCTCATTCATTTTCCCCTTCCCAAATACAGTATAGCAAACCCGGGTACTCCTCTGGTTAACTTCCCTGTCTTTCCCGTATCTTTCTATCCTGTCATGTCTTCGTTCTTCTATTCGAGGTGCACCCATTCATTCCATTGCAGAAGAAGCTTGAAATTCCCCTTACTGCCGTGAGTATTTCTTAGTTGTGTGACATTGAAGACTCAATAAGTATTAAACGAATTGTTACAATCTGACAGAGCGAGCTGTCGCTCGAGACATCCACGTTTATTTCAGTGTGATCTGTGTCGCATCGCATCCCGCTGGTAACGTTAGGACGTGCTGCATGGTATTCACCACAAGCTTTGGCTTAGTTAGGGAGCGACTACGTAACACTTGCTTCCTGAGCTCGTGCGCCGTTTGTGCTTTCCCGAATCTGAGTCGCGCTCAAGCAGCAATGCATCTCGCTCATGCATGGCAATTTGCGTTTCTACCTTGCACTGAACACAACGCACGCATTGGCCTGAATTATTCCTGCCTTTTTGCCTATCATGCTGTGAGTGCTGCGGCCATTTTTCTGACACCAATCTGGACTTTACAGGGTATGCAAGCTTTCCATCGGCACAACCGGACGGGCTCTCTGGACTCTCTTAATAATCTGTAAGTCACGATAGTATATGACTGTGTGCCATTATTTCTGACGCAGACATTCACACGTGAAAAAAAGAAGAATTAATATATAGAGGAGCATTTGTCTGTCTCATTCAAGCCTTCGTTGTAGTGTGTAAAAGTATCGTCCAGAAACAACGTGTTCACCAAGCGCAGGCGCCGACAATTGAGAAGCGATGTTTTTATGGTTGCGCTGATGGTATCAGTATATCGCACGCAGTTTCTATTGTACGCAATGCTGTGGTGCGGTCATCACAATGAAGCCGCTTATCCTTTAAGTGGTATCGCTGCTTTACGTCATCAAAGCCGCCATATTGCACTACCAGTTTTCAAAGAAGCTACAACCATGACGACGCACGCAATTTGTCAATATTCTCAAAGTTCAAGATTTAGAGCCCAAAGGAAAGGCCTCAGTGCGTTTGTGGTAGCGCTAAACACATTTACTTAAACTCTCCGACACTCACGCACGTTCACTCACATTAAGATGTGTCCAGTCATGTCATGCATGGCTAGCCAAGTTCAACACTTATTTAGGTATGTTCGGCCAGCACAAGTCAGCATTAGCCAACAGTCAGCGTGATTTAGTCCATACATTGTCGTTTATGGACCTACGTGAGCAATGGCATAGCCAAATTTCTCTCCGTTAATTAGCATCAGTTGAAATCGGAGACATCTTTTAGAAGCACTAATTTAGCAATATTTACCCACCATCCCTAAGAATTAGCCAATATTAGTCATCATTTAGCCAACATAAGCAATAACTTAGCCATATTAAGCCACTTTTACCGAGAATTAGCTACAATTGGTCAAATTTATTCAATTATGGCTGTCTTGAGCCATCGTTCAGCAAGCACGAGCAATAATTTAGCGATACTCAGCAACGTTTATTGAGAAGTGGCCAAAATCGAACATAATTCAATCCACGCTGAAAGCATCAGCCTTGACTTCGTTAGAAACAGGGCATTTGCCAGTGATATTTTAGTATGAGTACCACCACTACCATTGAGCTGTGTTGGTATTTCAACGTAGCTTATGGCGCGAAAAAAAAAAACACCGGGGGGAAGGACAAGCACTTGTCCTTCTCCCCCGTATTTTTTTTTTTCGCGCCATAAGCTACGTTAAGAATAAACCAACTCGCCCAACTAGTCACTCTCGTGGTATTTAAATACGATAGGCCAAGGTACCAGCACTCACAAATTGCCGGTTGCCGTGTGAAAACTCCTCTTGGGTACAAAAAATCCCAAGCATTTCCCCGAGGGTGAACATGGTTAAGTGCGAATACACGGGGTGATGCTATGAGGGGTATTTATTAATTCGCACTATTATATTTATTAATCACACTATGGTGCCTTGATGGTGTAATGGTTCCTGGGAATCGCAATTTGATCACACGGGGGAGTTTACGTTAACTCACTAGCGAATTGGTTGGTTGCGAAACTTTATTGAGGTCCTGCAAGGCGCGCGTCAGCGCGCAGCGGGCGTCTCCCACGTCGGGACCGTTAGGCCAAACCTATCGGTCGCTCCGCGGGCCTGCTGGACGGCCCAAAGTTGGTCGGCCAGGAGGGAGCTGCGAAGGGCCGCCTCCCACCTGACCGATGTAGTGTTGGAGTTAGTGTACATTGCCTTGCACTCCCAGAGCATGTGCGCCAGCGTGGATACATCCCCACATTCGGGGCAAGCGTCATTGGGGAACACGTCAGGATAAATAGCGTGGAGGGATCTCAGGTTAGGGTACGTGTCGGTCTGCAGTAGTCTGAGCGTAAGGGCTTGTGGCCTATTAAGATTTGGATGAGGGAGTGGATATAGTCTCCGCGCGAGGTAAAAATATTTTGTTATTTCGTTGTACGTGGCAGGCGCGTCCCTGTTTTCCGCAACCCCGTTGGCCCCGAATCGTTGCCCGGAACCCGCGCGGTCGGTTAGTGCGCGCGCGGCCTCGTGGGCAGACTCGTTGAGGTTGGGGGGAGCGCCTTGGACCTGTCCAACATGTGCAGGAAACCAAATCAGTACGTGGTGCTTGATGCCGTCGCGGCCACCACTTTGGAGCACGCGCAGGGCCACTAGCGAATGCCAACGGATTTTAACTTTACTCCCCCTCACGTCCCGCTCTCGACGGGAGACTGAGAGAGAAGGCGGGCGCGCGAAAGAGAGGGGTGCGCGCGCAGCTGCAGCGAGTGAGAAGAGCGGAGGAGCGAGCGAAGGGGGAGGGGGTGTAAGGCGCGTTACTGACACCGATATCAGCGTCGCGTCCGTGGCTTATTCGGTAGAGCGTCGCGCTGCGGCCCGCCAAGTCGTCTTTCTTTTAAAAATAGAGAGAAGACTGCGGACGCCGCCGACGGCGGTGGATGGTTTGGGGTCGCTTATAAAGTGTATTGACACTTAAAAACGCACCCTATGCGTATGCAAAAATATTGCCGCCTATCTGTGTACATTGCTGCGAATGTCGTCAGAATACGATAGTTTTCTGCAGGCCTTCGTTTGTACATAGCGTCGCATTTTTGTGACGGCCTTAAAATTAGTAAGGTTTTTAGAATTTCGTGTCTATGTATTGTTTATTAAAGGAACACATCATCTAATACGTACGTATTAGTGTGGTGTCTCACATACGTGTAACATTTGCTTTTTGATCGACTACGCTCGAAAACATGAACGCAGTCACCAGTTAAAGAAGGCAGGGCGTTGAGCAGGTGCCTTATTTTTGGTCAGGTGACTGAATCCTGTGACATACAGAGAGACAGATAAACCGACAGACCCACCACTATTTGCGTGTTCATGTATCCGGGAAAAGAATATATAGTCTTCCAGAAAAATTACTGCTTAGTACGAATGGCTGTATGTCACAGCGTACGACACACTTAAACTACGCAGTTGTGACGTGCCCCGCTCAGAGCTGCGGGCCAGCTCTCTTGAAGACGACCTGGGTCTCCAAGGATCGGCCAAGTACTGGCTTGGCAAAGACTACACGAACTTCATCTTCAAGGACCTCACCGAAGTGGACAACCCTTTTGTCGGTAAGTCCTCTAGCCACCGCAGAAAAATAATTACGAACGTAGCGAGCAAATATTCACCTTCTTCTGTTATTGAGTATTTTCGGACATATTTGTTGAAACATTCGGTGCACAGTGATCACACTTACGTACAGTCTTCCTATCTACCCAGCTTCCGCATTGCTACCGGCATTATTTGAATTCACTTGTGTACTCACGTTTACTCATATGTATTCCAACGCAGTGTCGTTCATACAGCATATCGATATTTATTGATCAGAAGCGTGTATTACGCGGGAGGGTTGTGATTTGACCTTCCCCAACCAACACTTGAATATATTTTAAGTCGTCACCTCTTTCAAGAAATATCACCTTACTGGTTTGCAAGCACTCAATTCGTATTAGGAGGTGCTATATCGAAAGACGCCAAGCAGGGTATATATTACATAGGATATTGACGATAAGCACTAACACTATATTCAAAAAAGGATGATCTATGCTAATAGACTCATGAGTCGACTCGCTTCAACTCAGATCCAGCCATCAGTCGGAGTCTGAGTCAGTGTGGGTGAGTAATGTTTTGTATTTTTGACTCCTAGTGAGTTCATTTGAGGAAAATTTTTGAAAGTTCGAGTTCTAGTGAGTTCGGCTGAGAAACATTGGGTGAGTCTGAGCGAGCCTTAAACACAAAATATATTTCAATGGTGAATATGAGTGAGCTCCCAAAGTTTTGCCGACCTTTGCGCACAGATAACGTGCATACACACACACGCGCGCGCACGCACACACACATGCACACATACATGCACGTAAACACACATCTTTTACTTCCCTAACCCCTTCGCCAGCACAGGGTAGCCAGCGGGTCTAAAAAATGGCTAACCTCCCTGTCCTTCCGCTTCTTTCTTTCCTCGTCCTCTTTCGTCCATTATTCGATGAAATGGCAAGAAATTTGAAGACAAGCTCAATGTTTGTTTGTTTTTTTTATTTTCGCTAAAACTTTCTTCATTTGCCGCGTTTCTTACGTCACAGACATCGTGGACCGCAACGTGACGCCCCGCATGCCGTGGCATGACATCGGAGCTGCCGTCAGTGGCGCCGCTGCGCGGGACATCGCGCGACACTTCGTGCAACGTTGGAACTTCACCAAGGTGCGTCCGTGCACGACGCTCGCTATGCACGTTTGCTCTGCAGGACGCATAACATGGGTGCTGACTCGTGCAGTATATATATAGCATGCAGAACACTCCTCAGCTCTATCTTCTTCTTTGCTCGACTATTTGTTGGCACGTTGCTACAGTGCCCACGCATTGATACAAAGGCTGTGTTCCGATACTCACCGTAGACGGCTGAATAGACAGCTAAATAGACGGCGGCCATCTTAAGTCCCATTCCAATTCTCACGTAGCCGGCAAAGTAGACAGCTCAGAGAAGACCGCATCGTAGACGAATATGATGCAGGCTACTTTGCTTTCTAAACAAGATGGCGGCTCAGCGAATCGCTCAGATAGATCAAATCTCGCCAGAATGGCCGTCTGCACACAAGCAGGCGATTTCCCAGACGCTCAATGTGAGTAAATTTGTTTGTTTATGATTTTAACACGAAATAAGCCAGAAATTACAACTGTTACGTTTGTTCCTTTTAGCTTTTTCTTCTCGACGCGAGGTGGCGCATCGTCGCGTAAAAGCTGTGAAGGAAACGGAGACTGACATGTGGAAAATGGGCATGATTAAGAAGTCCGCACTAGAGATCTATCGAACTTTTAAGCAGGAAATTGCCAAGGAAAGGATCTATGATGCTACTCGGGGTAGTTCTCTACTGTTTGAGGCAAGGACGGAAGTACTGCGAGCCAAGACATATAGGGCCAAATACGAAGGGGTGGACACAGTATGCAGTGCGTGTGGAGAGGAAGAAGAAACTGCCGAACACTTGATAATGTTCTGTAAAGGGCTTCACCCTATAGTTCAGGATGATGGCGCAGTTTTTCAAAGCACTGGGGTTTAGGGACCGGGAGGGCAAAATAGACTTTAAGCAAGTAGACTTAACTAGAAGGAGGTTATCTGATTGGTGGGTAAAGTCAAGGCACGAGTGAAAATTAAACTCTTCACTGCGAAGTACGAATCCTCAAACTCACTTTTTAAGGAAAAAATAAATAAATATAGTTTTGAGTTCATTAAGTATTACGGCTTGGTGGTGCTAGCCACCGCCCGATCTAAAGGGTACAGCCATATCCATCCATCCATCCAGCTGTCTAAACGTGTTCTAATTCTCGGACAGCATGGGCTCGGTGTGGTCTTCTAGGCAGTCTTCGCAGACTGCCTACGTGCTGTCTAAGAATTGGAACACAGCCAAAGTGGAAGTTTGTGAAAGGGCCCCTCACGAGATCTTACCATTTTGAGCTGACAAGCGCAATGCCCACCTTTGAATTTCACGGTCACGTCTGCTGAAATTCGCAGCAATACGTGCTACGCGAAAGAGTCAAATTTGACGCTGAATACTATTCTTCCTTTTCGTCACGGGCACTCGACCAGAGAAGGAGGACATTGGTTAATTATTAATATTGAATAATTATAGTATAATCAAATATTCAAAGAAATAATTTATTGGTTGACTGATTGATTTATTGATTGATTGAATTGTATGTGGGGTTCAACGTCCTAAAACCACCATATAATTATGAGAGACGCCATAGTGGAGGGCTCTGGAAATTTCGACCACCTGACGGAGCGTGAGGGGATGACAGCACTGGTATTCAGGGAAGTAGAGAGCCATAATGTGGATGTCTTCGCCATTAATAATGCCACTTCGATTTGAGTGGAAAGAGTTCGATGCGCTGACGACAATGCTTGCTCACTACGCGCATACAGTTTCGTGTCCTATCAATCTTTTTCTTCTATGCGCCGTGGTTAAAGGGACATTGAGGATTGCAAGAATTTTCCCACAATTCGCTATAGAGTGGATACGGGTGCAATAGCTCATACATATAACTATTGTATAGTGTGTATGCAATTTCGCTATAACAAAAATCACCCACGTACTCTTCACATATTGTCACTGGGTCGTGACGTCAACAAAGGGAGAGGACTGGGTGTTCAGGTCAATCGTATGGCCGAAACTGTGGCCATGTAAAAAGAGAGTCGGGTTACATCAAGATTCTGGCACTGATAGCGGCAAACAGCGTCGACCGGGAATCGACAAAGCGGCGAATGCGGCGGCATTTAATCACGTGTCATAGAGTATTCCCCACTTATCACTGGTCTTCGCGCAAGCTCTGCAATAATCTCGAGCGTTCCCATCTTTTGGGCGATCTTAACAGCACGATCACAAATGATCGCGAACGTCTTCGAACAATGAGGCGGAGTTTTTGCTGAGGATATCTGACCGAGGCTTTGTGGGCTAATCCCAAATCAAACAAAAGTGTAAATAAGAAACGCGCGTGTCTCTCGAAGCGTTCGACAGCCCCCTCGCTTCCTATTGAATATAACAACGCCTCCTAAAAAAACTATGCCTGGAACGTCACTCTCTTCTCCATTGGGAGCCTCCTGCCAGCACGCAATCTCGGAGGCCATGCCTCCTGCCTTGTGTTGCGACCGGCCGCCGCATGAGAACGCTCGCCTCCGTACCCCTCAGTCACGTGACATTACCGTACCGCTCTGTCACGTGACATGACGGCTGCTCGGAGGCAACTGTGAGAGCATTGCAGTGTTCGCAAAGGGCGGCCGTCAGAGACGCTCGCCTTCGTACCGAAGGAGGAGGGTAATATCAGAGGGTTGGGCAGCGCGTTCGCGGCTCACGTTCCGGGCATAATTTTTTTAGGAGGCGTTGGATATAAAATGGATTCTTTGTTGATAGGCCCAGTTATTTTTATATTCTTAGAACTGTATAGATATTGGGCGTTTTGCGTATGTTGGAGCAGCTTGTTTTCGCATAAAAATAGTGTTGCAGGCATAAGTCGGTGAACCCGCGCTGACTCATAAAAAGTCGTGAGTCTGAGTTCGAGAGAGCCTCGGTGAGTAATATTTTGGTGAGTTCGAGTCTGAGTGAGTACGCTTCAAAGAAGTTTTTGAGAGTGTGGGCCCGAGCGATGCCGACTCAGGAAAATTTTGGTCAGTCTGAGTTCGAGAGTGTCCAAAACGTTAGCTGCATTTCGTAAGTCTGAGTGAGCTCTATATTTTTTCGCCAACTCAATGATTCTCCCCATTCGGTTGAGTCATGTGATTGGAGCTGCAGTGCCAAGCCCGACGTCATACCATCGGTAAAATTTGAACGAAAGGAAAATGATTTACCTTGGGTTGCATATACTGTCGATACTTCGCCATGGTCCGTGGTTGATCCTTGTCGCTTAAACGCGTCAGTAATGTCCGTCAAGCCGCTTCCCCATTTTTACTATTCTGCCACCATCACTACTGCTTCTGGGCATGTAGCCCATGGGCAAGGTAACTGCTGCTCATTAAGAGTAACTGACAGGATTCCAAGAGAAGGCAAGTGTGCCTGAAGGAGACACAAAATTAGGTGGGCAGATGTAGCTGTTGTTTTCCTTTGAACACGGCTCGTATCCAGTGAAGGGGAGTGGCCGAGTATAAGGTGATTTTTCTCAATACTCATTTATTTATTTATTTATTGAAAAATCCTTACAGGCCCTTTACAGGGCATTGAGTAAGGGGGGTAATTGGTGAAGTTTTACAGATCACACAAAATAATTCACGCGTTACAAAGCGTATCACCACAATGAAAGTATGACGCGGATTGCAATATAAGTTGAAGTTAACAGGTGATAACAAGAAAAAAGAAAAGGCGGTTTCATAGTGCACACACGACAGTGGGAACTGAATACAGTCATTATAGCATATGAAGGCGACATCAACCAAAGATAGCCAGCTGGCTTTACCTCAACGAGGTGCGGTTCTTTGTTTATAAGTTGCAGAACATACAATAGAAAAAGCACCAAAAAACGCAGAACCTATGCCCATATATAGAAAACATTTCCAGTGTGCAACAAACATAATCGGGCACAAAATCCGACACGTGCAGAACAGTGGCAAGTCTATTGTGAGAAGAGAGTAAGCAGCAACTGACGGAAAGAATTATTGTCTGATACAGATGCGATGTTATCTGGAAGACCATTCCACAAACGTATGGCGCGAGGAAGAGCAGATGAGTTGAATGAATCAGTTGCCCCGTATAATCGCTTGAAACTGAAGTGATTATGCAACCTACGTGAAGTAATGGAAGGAACAACTTTCCGCATTGCTCCATTCCTAAGAACGCTACTCAGCTAATTGTGATCTGAAGTGCTAATTACGAATTTGAAAACAACTAGTGCACACATAATTTAGCAAGAGACTTGTTTAGTTGTAGGGACGTATTCCTGAATGGCGAATAGAAGATGAAGAAAATGAACTCCTTTTTCTTCTCTTCTTCGAGAGCCTCGATGATGATATTAATGCAGGCAACACTACACACAACGTTGTCAACTGTAGCATATTGAGATGGCACTAACGCCAAAAAGTCTTTCATTCTTCATCTTCCAGTGCCATGATGATCATACGAAGTGCGGGAGTTATTACATCGCTAGGTAAACACAACACAATTAATCCACATATAAAAATTGAAAGAGAATGCAAGCGAGAAATAGTGAGAGAAAGAAAGAAAAATAAATAGGCAGAAAAAAATAGAAACAAATATCAGAAAGAAGACAAAATCGCTAAATATTGCAAGAAAGAAATAAAAAAAGGAAGAAAGAAATAAAGAAAGAAAGGAGGGCAGAAAGCGGGACTCGAAGAGGAACAAGGAAGAGTGCCCAGCTTTGAATTTCCTTCAGTCTTGGTGTCACTAGTAGGAAGCTGTCTTAATTTTTTTATGATACTCCGAATAACCTTGCATCAACTTAGCTTTGTAAAACCTTCGCGTAAGTCGCCAGGCTATGGTTTTTTCTTCATTAACACATCGCTTACTTTTGCACTGTTTCAGTTCTGTAGATATATACTGATGTCTTATTATCATGCACTTTCTGTGCATTGCCGAAAAGGGACACAAACCTAGCCAAGCCAATTTCTCGCTTTTTGTCTGCGCCTTTGTCGCTGGTATCACTTATGAATACGAAGGAAAAGTTAATAGAGTTTAATGTTCCTGACAGCTGCTGTGTGGATGTAGCAAGGGATCAGTACTTCTTACCTTCCCGCCTGTAGTTACGATGCTTACTGATTGCATCTCTCAATGCATCTTTCTCTACTCGCCTCCTACAGTTCGAGAAGGCTAAGCAGCACGAAAACTACCCGTGGCTGCTACCAAAGTCCTACCAGGACGTGGAGCTAGAGTCGACGCTGCCGGAGACTGCCATTGGCACGCTCTTCACCGCAGACTGCCAGGTGGGCGCTCTAAAGCGTTGCACGTGTGCATAGCTCGTGCGTATTGGTCCTACTATATAAAACGAATGGTATACTCCTCGCAAACCGGTGACTCTCTTGTGTGGGATTTGTATTTCTTCAGTTTTATGAATACCTCTGTTGCTCTCTCTCTCTCTCTCTCCCTCTCTCTGTGCGTGTGCGTGTGCTTCTTTATGTGTTCGTAGCCGCAGCAACTTGTTGACCTCAATGGACCGAAAAGAATGCACTCGATCGAAGGGACACAATAGTCTGCGTGTTACTTTTTTAGGTGAATCCTGAGTTGCCGATTAAATAACTAGTCTTAGCACTCAAGATACTGAAGCGCCGAAGCACTCAGATGCCGTACTATCAGCGTCAAATGAAACCCGAACAGCAGCAAGCCTTTGCGATAGTGTAGTGCGTGCCGTCCAGTTGTCACCATTGACAGGCACGGACATCTTGTGCTGCAGCTTTGCGCATATATGCGTGCCTGTTCGTAGTGATGAGTGGACGGCGTGCACTACACTGCCGCGAAGGCTTGCCTCTGTTCGGGTTTCATTTAACTCTGATAGTACACCTGTCTGACATGGATTACATTGCATACGTACTCTCTGAAGCAAAGGCAGCACTCATAGACATGGATGATAGGAAGGCACACTGACACACAGGCGAAACCACTTCTAGTAACTAACTCTTCATTTAATATGTGCCTTTTATATATAAATTCTTTCCTCTTTTTGTTGGCCATGTGGCAACTTCAGTGCACTGATGCGAGAGCGATATTGCTATAACGATACAGCTGTCACGTTGGGTTAACGTTAACTGTATTTAGGCGCCATCCGCTTAAGGTAATTTATACAGCAGTGTCGAGGGCTACCATACTCGCGAGCACCAGCGCTTCGTATCAGCTTACAGTTTCCGGTGCTGCTAATAATCATGTCGCTGTTGGCACATATACATATATCATTATATAACACATATGCGGCTGTTTAACGTATGTCTGTACTGGCTTTCTTTGCATATCTTTAGCGTCACTTTGTGAACTTTTGCTCCATTACAATTTACAACACAGTCACCTTAAATCGGCATGCTACGCATTACATCGAATTCCACCTTGGAATTCGATGTTATTTTTTAGGCCCGCCTATGGTAATTTTTCAGTCTGCCTATGGTAACAGGCAATTCTTCCCTATTTCGTTTCTTTGAATATTTTTCTTTGAATATATATTTTTTTCAGGACTTTCGCCAGTAACCATTATCCAAGGGCGGTTGAATCTGTCAACTTAGAACTGTCTCACATAAAGCGGCGTGCTTGCAAACCCCGTTTTTCAAGTGCATGGCTTGTAGCGGTGTTGTTCCTGGGTTCGATATTCAAACCTGGATGAATTTTCTGGCAATATGAAGAAGCTTTTTCTCTGTAGAACGAACCCATATAGGGATTTTTGTGTGGCTGCGTACTACAAACGGACAGTTGCCAGGCTTCCTTCTTAACCCTTGCGCTATCTTGCTGGATTTGCATAAAGGAATTTGCCATAATACATATCTCCGGCCGCAATGTTCCACCACCCCTCATCGAATGGCATTCGTCGCTCAGGCTGTCATTTGAATCTAGTGACATTAACACACGCAGTCTTATTAGTCCGCTTGCACTTATTATTTCGCCATATTTCCGTAATGTAGTTTTCGTATGCTCCGTATAACATTTAAAAGAAAGTATCCGTATACTCCGTAAAGGTTTTTATATTTCCATATTTTCCGTAAGAAACTTTCCTATATCCTGCATCATTCCAGTATTTTTCCTCATTTTCTTGAAAAAGGTTTCGCCATGTGTCAAACAACTACCTTATTTTTTCATAAAAAATACGCATTTTTCCGTATGATTCTCAAGGAAGCTACGGAGTCCATAGTTTTCCGTAAGATTTCATACAGAACGTCTCAGTAGAAATGTCACTGGCATTCCGTTAACGCGTGCAATTGAAAATAAACATTGTCACTACTTTGTAAGTAATTCTAAGATAGTGGGTGAAAAGCTTATCAGATTTCAGTGCAGCAAAGACTGTGCCGCTGAAATCAGATTTGATCTCTGAATATATGCACCTAATATCCTTCTATCTCCATCTTTATTACCAGTGGTATATCTGCCTATTGAGTGATTTCGATAACATTTCCTTCGTGCGTTCTACACAATGTTGCACGTAACTCTCTTCGTTTCAGATATTGCGTAGTGCGAGCAACTGGTCTACGGGCATCAAGGCGGTCGAGTCCTCCATCCACTCCGCTTACATCGACAACATCGTCAACGCCAAGCACTACATCTACATCGAGGTCAGTCTATCATAATCTAAGTCTCACAATTACCACTCAAAACACTGCATGTACTCGCGGACAACTTCACTCGACAATGAAGGGAAATATAGGGTCCACAAGTTCTAAAATATACTCGTGCTTTCAAACACGACATTAATTTTCTCAGCATAGCAACCACTTTTTTGCAATTGCTGTCGATAGCCACGTCATTTAAAGACAAATATTGCCCCTAAACACAATGACTGCACTGATCTAGGCAAGCGAGTCAGCATTACGCTGATATTACCCAAACTGAAGATGGTGCATGCAAACGCATGTTCGTTACGTAGCTCTAAGTTGTCCTCCTTTAAGCCGCGAGTGAATGTGTGCTCTTGCGCGAAGGTATAGGCCGTCTTGGCACGCGCTTCGTACTGCTGGGGAGAAGGGATCACTGCGCGACGTGAGCATCGTCTACAGATTGCCTCATGTGGTACAATAAATTGGTGTGTGGTAAGACAGCCCTTTGTGGGTGGCGTTCGTCGCAAGTTTTGTGAGGCGGCTTGACGGAAGGGCCACAAACCAGCTGACGTTCACCTGGAGTGCAATACTGAGTGCATTCTGCGATGCAATCAGTATGCATCGTAACTAGGGAACTATAGTGAGCAAAACAGTCAATAGGCGAAGGAAAGTGCCTCGGAAGAATGCGTTGTTTTGACATCTTCTACAGGGTCTATGCTTGAAGCGTCGATTTCTTTCCCATAGACCTTCTTTAGGTGCGCCATCTCAGAGGCTATGCCTTCTACCACGTGTTGCAAGAAGGCGCGCTGGGAGAGCGTTTGCCACCGTACCGCTTAGTCGCGTGATACAATCCTGGCAGCTGCTTGAATGCGGTATCTGTATAAGCGCTGTACCAGGAGCGACCGCCAGAAGCGCTCACCTGCTTACCGTAGGGGGGGGTTCTTCGCGGTTCACATTCCAGGCATAGGTCCTTTAGGAGGATTTGGTTTTGATGATTTTCAGGGGCACCACAAAATGATTTCAGAAACATATTAAACGCGTGAAACTACAGTATTGTAACGGATTATCAATATTGTAGCACATTATTTTTGAAAGCTCGCAATTTAAGAGCCCGGTTGCTTTAACAATATATTTGTTTTAACGTCTTGATTGGCCGCTACATGGAGCCACCATTTCCCGAGACATCTCATGGTGCACCAGTGGCCATTTTCGCTAACTATCTGTGTGGGCTATAATTCAAGTCACAGGGCGTGCCCTCAACCTTCCATATAATTCAAGGCTACTGTTAGGACCCATTTTCTCGAAAACACCTATATGTAAAACATTCAGCTTTATTGAAAGCATTTGACAGGCTTCTCACCTTGTAATGAAACAGGAATCACAATTTTATTTAAAGTGTTGACATTGCTTACCTTTTTTCAGCAATGTAAGCAATTCTCCTATTACATAAATATAACTCCCGAAAGTGATGACTATTTTTATACGTACACACTTCTAGCACAGTAGATTTGTGTAAGCGTTTAGTTTAATCTGATAAACCTCTCTCCGTTATCTGTTCACTTTTTTAAAAATAGCATAGTAGCAAAACACATTTAGAGACATTGAGAGTTACAAAGAAAAGCAAGTTTGTTTTAATTTTGTTCAAAAGAAAGACGCACTGAACAGTTCATTAACAGCAACCAGCCATAGTCATCACACGGGTCAGCTTGTCGCTATTCTTCTTTTTTTTTGTGGATTCCCTAGCTTGATTTGCGATATCATCTCTCTATTTATTGACAAAATACTGCGACCGTGGTCGATATCAGCAAACTTTATCACAGTGTTGCATTTTGGTGATATGCAAATGGGAGGGTGTTCCCTTCAGCAACACAGGCATCGTAGAACCAAAGAACAGCGTCAAAGGTGTCAGTTTGAGCGTTTCTCTTCCAAGGAATATTGTTAATTTTGTTCTCCACGAGTGTCCTGTTTCGCACTCTGTAAGCACAGTTACTCGTAATCACGCTTTGTATAGGCTTAGTATCAGTCAAAGCGTAGCCATTTCACTACAGCTAACATTTTGTCCTTACGGCAACCCAGAATGAGGGCTTAACTTAATCGCTGAAGAACTCACCCGAGTGCTTCCAGTTTCTTTTGTGTTACTAGCCGAAGCATGCCAATTTCCTACTATACTACGCTTTCTAAACTGTTGATTTAACTTTGCAAAACTCCGAGTATGTTTTTCTGCCTCAACGTATATCCACGAAGGTGCAGTTAAACTCAATATAAGTGCACAGAGCCACGTCTCCATGAACGTCTCATACACACAAGGCTGGTGGACTCGGTAAATGTTAGGCGTGTTCAAAAAACCTGCACCGCGTGCATTCAGCTGGCCAAACTATGTTTTTAATATTATGCTAAGCTCATAAACACAACAAGTCTCGGAGTGAAGCGTGCATGCCTCGTGAGACGGGGGTGTGGCTGCTGGTCGGTTATTTTCGAAAACCTGGTCCTTCTGACTCATTCTGAAGAAACTAAGATGTGAGGGGCATTGGATAATAATGAAGTCATTACATTGGAAACGAGGAGGAAAATGTCAAATAGGAACTTCAAAATAATTTCAAAAGCGCCAGAACAGTGAGACGTTGTGGCATTGAGCTGTCACGCTAATAGTAGTTGCTAATTTCACTATCTAATCACAGGCGCGTAACTCTGTTCGTTTCAGATATTGCGTAGTGCGAGCAACTGGTCTACGGGCATCAAGGCGGTCGAGTCCTCCATCCACTCCGCCTACATCGACAACATCGTCAACGCCAAGCACTACATCTACATCGAGGTCTGTCTATCATCATCTAAGTCCCACAGTTACCACTCGCTACACTGCATGTACTCGCGGACAACTTCACTTGACAATGAAGAGAAATCTAGGGTCCGCAAGTTGTAAACTATAGACCTTCTCGAAAACGCCTCCCTGGGCGCCGTCATAGTCCTCGTTGAGCTGCGCGAATTGGCGTGACCCTGCGAGAATGCACTGACAAGGCTGCGCCCCTCGCTTTTGTACTCTCGCGCACAGCCCATTATGGCGGTGTTTTTCCCTCCTGTAAAAAGGTGTATACTCGTGCGTTCAAACACTACATCTATCAATAGCGACCAGTTTATGCTTTCGATAGCCACGTCATGTAAAGACGAATATTGCCTCTAAAGGCAATTACTGCGCTAATCTAGGCGAGCCAGTCAGCATTACGCCGATATTACCCGAATTGAAGAAGGTGCAAGCATACGTATGTTCAATACGTAGCCCTAAGTTGTCCTCCTTGAAGCCGTGAGTGAATGTGTACTCTTGCGCGAAGGTATAGGCCGTCTTGGCACGCGCTTCGTACTGCTGGGGAGAAATGATCACTGCGCGACGTGAGCATAGTCTACAGATTGCCTCATGTGGTACATTAAATAGGTGTGTGGTAAGACAGCCCTTTGTGGGTGGCGTTCGTGGCAAGTTTTGTGAGGCGGCTAGACGGAAGGGCCACAAACCAGCTGACTCCCACCTGGAGCGCAATCGTGAGTGCGTTCTCCGATGCAATGCTATGCAACGTAAGCAGTGAACAAGTGGGAGCAATACAGCCAAGAGGCCACTCGTTGAAGTTTTACCACGTGATGAATTCATTTTGTTCATTAATAACCACTGATCATTGTGCTTTGTAGATTCTGTCGCGTATTGCAGTTTTTGTATTCTGATTCCATTCCTTCAGTAGCCTTTCACGGCTCAAGTATGTTGAAATATGCAAATAAGTACATCTGGGCAGGAATAAACTGTAAACGCGAACACATGCTCATGCACACACAGAAAACCAAGAGCCTTACACATGGGCAGTGTTTCACGATGCTAATTTTTCTAGAGAACTAATTATGGTTGCGATCTTTTATTTCAGAACCAGTTCTTCATCACACTCGAACAAGGCAACCCGACCGTCGAGAACCAAATCGGCGAGGCACTTTTTCAGAGAATCCTCAAGGCACACAGGTTAGAAAGCGGGTTTGCTCATCGATCGCTCAGCGATAGCGCCGCCGCTGCGACACGTCACTTGAGCGATCGCTCTTTTGTATGCTTACTTCAACAAATTCTGTCCGCTATAATCGTTCATGCGGAGGGCGCCGCACACCTCAAAAGCGGCAAGCTGTGTTGACATAGGCACAAGATGTAATCATCTCACGCAAGGGCACAGAGTTTCCTACAATATTTTCTAGGGGGAACTCTGGCGCTGCTATCATTCAGTCACTGTGGGAATAGTGAGTAGTGCACGAATTTGCATATTGTTTGTGCTTGAGTTTCCAAACGCACTTGCGGCTTTTTTTTAATTATGTGTTTGAGCGATTGGTTCGGATAAAAACATGGAGCGTTGTGAACTTCGCGACCAGGTTTGAATTGGTGAGCCTAAAAAGGTCAAGCCGATAAAGTGTATATGCTGAATATTTGCTAAACTTCGTCTTGCGACAAAGCGTTCAAGGCCAGGTTGAGCCAAAAGGTGCCGAAAAAATATTCTTCATACAACGCCGAGTACAGATCATTCCCTCAGTGACTGAAGCGCCGTGCGTTGCTGCTTGAGTTCCATCATGTGTAATAATAATAATAATAATAATAATAATAATAATAATAATAATAATAATAACTAGGGGTTTTACGTCACGAAACCCCGATGTGATTGTGATATACGCCGTAGTGGAGGACTCTGGAAATATTGACCATCTGGTGGTATATTTAACGTTCGCTCAGAACACACAGTACACGGGCCTGTACCATTTCGCCTCCATAGAAATATGACCGCCTCGATGGGGCAGGATAGAACCCGCGGCCTGTGGTCAGTAGCTGAATTAACACTGTAAGCGCTACGTCACCGTGGCTCACTTCCCTATATTGTACCTTAAGAAAATCTGTGCGCAAGCAAGCTCACTCTTGAGCTATGTAGTGGGTTACTAATCTGCATATACGATTTTACGAGATAAGCTAAAATTTCTTAGGTATACGGCCTCACATGTCCTGCAAAAGCCAGGTGTAACTGAAAATAGCGGACACAAGGAACTGCGTCACAGCGGCCAAGAAATGCATTTCCCTTGGTGACACGGCGTTATCATTATGCAGATGCTTGTTACTTCCGCCATTTGTTCGCGGTATTGACAAGAAATAACCTACAAACAGTGAGGTGATAGTAAATTGAGCCTTTTTTCGTAGACCTAAAGGTCTATATATCACTACTTATTGAAATAATTTGCTACACACTGATGGCTCTCGTAAAAGTATAGTAAAGTGTAACAAGAGCTTGGTGTTTGTAGGGCGTCTGTGTAGGAATTTAGCTTTTGCTTTACCTTCTTTATAGAAACACTCGTTGCGAGTAGATAACTGTAGTACGAAGTGGATGATAAACCAAGCCGAAACTTCGGTAACCTCTCTGCTTTTCCCCTTCGCTTTTCTGTCGCTCTGCTTTACGAGTGGTGAAACTAGGTTTATGAACGAGGGTAGGTTGACTGACTGCAGAATAAGTATATAAATCTTTACGTACTTATTGCAAGTAATTATTAGTAAAAAACAGCTGTAATTTGCTAGTACACTTTCATTTGCCTTAATTCTCGTGTTCAGAACCTTGGCATCTAATAGCGTGAGTCTCACTCATGTGTACAAAGTCGATCAATGCGCGTGTCGCTAAGGAATGATAGAGATAGCAGACATCCCAACAATCACTATCATCCGCGCCTGTCTTTCCCTTCACACCTCCGCACAGGAACAAACAGAACTTCCGGGTGTACGTGGTGATGCCCCTGCTTCCAGCGTTCGAAGGCGAAGTGGGCACTGACACGGGAGTGGCCATCCAGGCCATCACACACTGGAACTACGCTTCCATGTGCCATGGCGACTCTTCGATTCTCGAGCGCCTCAAGGCGGCGGACGGTGAGCTCGCCATGCCAAACACTATGACCCCTGAGATCGGTGGAGATCGTTGTGGCGCTGCCGAATCATCGAGGCCGTGCTCGGCAACCGTGTGATGCCGAGCGCCGGTGCCTATTGTGCTAAAGGCAATTTTGAAGACAATGTTTCGCATTAATTTTTCGTTTGGCTGATCAAACTTTGCCCTAAATACAGGCATCAGAACCTTTAAAAATATTATCAAAGTAAATACATCTAATGCGGTTCTTAAAAGCCACGTAGCTATATACATGAACGAATACTATCAATGAGAATACATTTTTGTTCAAAAGTCTGTCTCGGTGCACAATATGGGTGTTTCGTATAAGTTATCTGCATTGTTACAGCGATAGACTTTATTGGCTGGAATATTAGAGGGACCTGAGAGGTGCAACAACACTGTAAGCAAAAAATGAGCCGAGATGGGGGTTCTCCAGCATATGGGCCCCCAAAACTCCCCTGCCCCAATGATTTACTCCCTAGTAAGGAGTGAACTCCTTAATGACAGAGTTTATGAACGACATGACCTTGTTGAACCCCCCAAGAGAGTTTAAGGTCACGTGGTTACAAACTCCCTATGGGAGTGATAAAAACCTTTTTTGTTTGCGACGTGCGTACGTTTGTGTGTGTGTTTGTGTGTATGTACAGGCATCTGTTTGCACTTTGGTGGGAAACACCAGTGCTTTTTGTAGCAGACCGTGTGACAGTCTATGACATCTCTCGACAGTCAACGAAATTATCAGGGCAGCGAAGATTTCCAATGACCGGTTGGTGTTCATTGATAACATTTATAGATATTTGTCACCGTTGAGCCATGCTGGACATCGGTCCGATTCCTCAACGAAACGCCGCGAATTCCGCGGTTCAAAGAGGCGACTTACAAAAAAATTTCGAAGAATAATTTAATGGTAACAAAAGTGAGCTGTTGCGATTGTTATCGATTGCTTCTGAAGTTTCAACGTCAAAAACTTTCAACATCTAAGAGGTAAGAAGGCCTCGCTATGCCGTCGATATCAACCCGGCATCGTAGCGAACTCGCAATTAGCACCGGCCGCCGTGGCGAGTGAGCTATCACGTACCACCGGCGAGGCAACGAATGTGATTTACAAAAACTAAAGGCTGCTTGAACGAATAACAGTCTTCTCCGCCGTGGGACTGCAGCTGTCAAACGACTAACGCGAAGGCGAGCGCCGAACGAGTTGGAGACACACAGAAACGGCGTTTGGTATGCACGCCCATGCAATGCATGCGAGCAACAGCAACCGCGACTGCGAACCGTCCCATTCGTTTAAGTCCATCGCTGCCTAGCTTATACTGCGTGGATGGTGGACACCTATTTCTGTGCACGGGAAAAATCACGAGACGAAAACTGCACATCAGCGAGCATTTTGTGATCGCCATCCGTCATTCATCGAATCACCGTGCTGTACTCGTGAGTGAGGCCTAGTCGTCGAACGCGGTAACGACGGTGTAGCAAGAGCTGTTGAATGTGCGTCGTTGACGTGTTTCGGTCTTTGTGTACGATTCACTGCATTTCACGGATTCATACACAGTGCTGCTAATGCGAATTCAGCCCGTACTACAGAGCACCAACTGATAAAACTCTTACGCTATAGTTAAAACAATATTGAATATTAGGCAGGCTTAGGATAGAAGGCATGTGTGTTGAACTGCTTGCATTAAGCCGCCGCAACTTCATATTCCTATGACATGCATGTTTGTTGTTTGATTAATAACAAAAAAAAAGAGTCCCTTCAGAGCTGCATGGGAGGTCAGAGTGTGGTGCCTATGTACACCCGATGGCTGAAGCATATGTGTGCAGCGGGAGTGACAAGCTGTGTTGAGCGAGCGCATGTTAGTGTACTGAGCTCAATATTGTGTGCTTTGAAGGTAATGAAATTAAAGTTACGCTTCCGAATGGTACGGCTGCTGACGTAATTTCTGATCTGAAAAAGTTCCCAGATGGTTGTAATAAAAAACTCCCCTTAAACCATTCCGAAACCCCCTGCCGTTGGGGAGTAAATTTTTACTCCCTCCGAACGGTGTTTATAAAACCCCCATCGGAGCATGCGCTAGAGGACAAGTCGTTTACTCCCATCTCGGCTTATTTGTGTTTACAGTGAAGGAGTAATTCATTGGGAGTCTGCTGGGCGATTGAGTGTGGCCGTTTGTGACAGATGTATTTTTGTAAAGGGCACATCGGGCAATTTTTCAGCGTCCGTCACAGTTCTTTTCAAAGCGGATATTGCTGCCAGTAATTTACTAGGTAAATATTAAGAGCAATGACAGCTTCAAACTTGTACTCAGATGGATAAAGTTTTGGCCTTTTTTCCCGCTGCCTTGTCTGGTTTTACGTTTTCAAACAATTAAAACAACGTCAATTCGCAGACCCGGAGACTAAAGGACACAGAATAAACGCTTTGCGATTTGCTGTGTTTCGATACTCTGGTGTCATCGAGGCATCGTCATCGTCACTTTTCCTGCCCCTAGCTTTGTGGCTGTCATCGAACGTGGCCGCTTCCAATGGCGCTTGTGAACGTTTTCACTTCTGCGGCATTTCTTTGCAACCTTTGTTTTGCTGCGTGTGCAGTGCCCGACCCAACCAAGTACATCGACTTCTTTGGACTCAGGAAACACGACGAGCTGCACGGAAAGCTGGTAAGCATCCATCTTAAAAACATTATGTTCGTATTAAGCATCGACAATAGGAACATACGAATAGTAAATGGTGCTTGTGATCTCAACAGCCAACTCTTCAGATTTCGTGTTTTCTGTGGATACCGTGTTTCTCGACTTGATTCGGGCTTAAGGTACAAATAGCGCTTCTATGGATGTAGGGGTTGCGGTGGTGGCGGAAGGCATTCATTCTACTTGAGAGATGTGGACTTGCTCAGGAACCATATACTTGGTGAAGTAGAAAATCCGGGAAACCACTGGTCGAAGCCACGAGTCTGGTCCTTTTGACCAATGCCTCTGGGGCGTGAAGGCCTGAGAAAACTAGTCGGACTGTCTCCCGGTCCTCTCGTATAGGGTTGAGGGGTGGAAAGCTGAGAGCTGAACTTTCTGTGACAGACCCACGCCAAGTTATATATGCCAATCACCTTACAGCAGCATAAGCAGGTGTCAGTGAGCGTATTGCAAAAAAGCTTCAGGCATCCCACAGCGCGTCAGATGAGCAGAAACAGTCGAGCAGCGGATCTAATGAATTTCCTTTGTGAGTTTGTGTGAAGTTATCCAGTTTGGTGTTGGTGCCTGTGATTACGTTATTTGTAGACTATGGGTGCGTGGCAATAGACATGTCAGCCTTTCCCCACCCGCCCCTGCTACATTCGTTACAGTGGGCTTAACAATAATAGAATAAAGCCACTGCCAAGCCCTTCTACAATGACTTCAGGCACTATTGTTGCTGGAGCCACATCTTCCCTGTTTCACGGCCCATGACTGAACATCATAAAAGTGTGCATCTTGGAACAGGCGAGTTAATCAGACGGACACCTATGCATCGTTCGGCCGCGCCCTTGAAAGGCTCTGCGGTTAAAACGTTTCATTAGGGAGTTTTAGAATAGCGCACCGCGAGCCCTTGAGTGCGGTCGCTGCCACTGCGCATGTGTCGTAACGCGAGTCGGCGTCCGCGTTCGCGGATGGTACGCAAAAAAATCCGAAATTGCATGCGGTAATGGTGGCCCGCATGTGGCCTGCAAGCGCTGGTTTCGAGGCTACGGTGTCGCTGCGATCGTGCGTTGCGGATCGCAGCAGGGCAAACGCTCTTCTAAAGCTCATAAGGCGCCCGCTACGCCCGCAACGCCCGCAGCGCTTGCAAAGGGTATTCTAAAACTCCCTATTTATACAGATCGTACTAATACCGGTACCCTCGGTTGCTCGTTGTTCATGTCCCGCGCATGTGCCCATCGCAGACCCAGGAGCTTGTGTACGTGCACAGCAAGCTGATGATCGTGGACGACGAAGTGACCATCATCGGCTCGGCGAACATCAATGACCGCAGCCTCCTGGGAAGGCGCGACAGCGAGCTGGCTGTTGTGGTGCACGACACGGAACGCGAGAAGAGCATCATGGACGGCCGCATCTACTCGGCGGGACGGTTCGCGGGGTCGCTGCGACGCAGCCTGTTCCGCGAGCACCTGGGCCTCCTGGAGGGCGACGGCAGCTCGAACGGCATCGATATCAGGGATCCCGTCTCGTCATCCTTCTACGACGGCGTCTGGAGGACCACTGCACGCCGCAACGCCCAGATCTTCGAGAAGGTGACAATACATTGTTATTGCAAGGAGTGTCTCGCATTTTGGGTGTATCTGTGTATTTCAAAGGAAGTTTGTATTGCCTCTCAAGTGAACTTGGCGTTGTAGATTGGCCAAAAAAAAAATCACGTAACCGGCGCCCACGGCGGCGAAAAAATGCGGCTTTTGAAGGTACGCTGGTCGCATGCGTACTTCTTTCCGCCGTATATTTTTTTTTCAAATTAGCGATACTCTCTTAATCGTACGCATGTCATCGATCAGCTGTTTCTGATAAAGTAATCTTATCTCTTATTGACGCTATCAAGCTGTCTTGCCATTCCACGTTACATTTCATTGGTGGCGGGACATGTACACATGACCGTTGTCGTCACCTGGAGCAACTGAATGGTGGTGCTGCTGAGTACGTAAATGACCGTCGAACTTACGACGTAAAACAAAGAAAAAGCTCAGGGGGATGACCGCGCAATGAACTTGAAAGAAAATCAAGCTTGGGAACCCTTAAGCTTCGCTTTTAAAAGTTGAACCGGAAAGCGATGTCCTTCCCTTTGTGCATAATTCAACGCTCAGTGCATACTTTTCATTGTACGTTACTCGAGAATTTCACATTATAGATTATAACAATGTAATCGATTATGTTTCGAGTGGCCTCTGTCAGTGAAGCTTTCGCCTATATGGCTGCGTTTTCTGTGATGGGTGGACAGCTTCAAACCACGAGATCGTTAAATAATAATCACATTATTTGACGTCCGGTGTAATGTAGGTTTGTGCCAATAAATATTACTGCGTTATTACATGTTGTGTTGTAAAACCTGTTACAAGATGCGTGTGCATTTAAAGCATAAAACTTTATTTTACTGCATTTTAGGCAGACGCGCGTCAGTGTGGTAGAACAACTGTTTGGCACGCAAACAGCCTGGCTTTGATCCTCACCCGTACCGAGAAATTTAATCAGTTCTTTCATTTGCATCTTTCATCAATTTTTGTTCACGGACAAAATTCGGTACACCACCAACGACGTAAATTGAAACCGACGGCGGAATTTCTACGAAACGACCTCTTTAATGCTATCGCGTTAACAGTATGTCAAGGAGTAACCACATGGCCGATATAGTGGGGGCTCCTGATATTTTATTGCAATAGCAATTATATGGACAGTCTCAGCTGCTTTCTGCCGTGGCTGCCGGAGCCGTCATTCAGGCATGTATATATATAAATAAATAAATAAATTATAGAGAGTCTGGCTTCGGTTGCCGTAGAATTAAATGAAAATAAGTGTACGCCTCTGAAAAACTGTTTATTAATGACGTTTCGATCGGCCACCAATGAACAGTTTTTACTGGCGTATACTTATTTCTCTCTCTCTCTCTCTCTCTCTCTCTCCATATATATATATATATATATATATATATATATATATATAGTCCAGTAGATCCTCCGTGAGTGGTCACAACGTGGTTTATTTTTTATTTTGACGTTTCGGCCTAGAGTCTGGCCTTCATCAGGATCCTGATGAAGGTGAGACTCTAGGTCGAAACTTCGAAATAAACCACGTTGTGACCGCTCACGGAGGATCTACAGGACCATATGCAACGGTACGGCCACTCAACCACTATATATATATATATATATATATATATATATATATATATATATATATATATATATATATATAGAGAGAGAGAGAGAGAGAGAGAGAGAGAGATACACGGGGCAGAAGAGGCTAGCCTCCTCTTTCTGCATGTGGAGCGAAGAACATCACCTCCGGCCGCGGTCGTCTGCGCGCGCGCCTATCTCGCGAGCGAACAAGTGGGGGGGGGGCACGGCACTTATGGTTGCTGCGCTACCACGGCAACGATCAGTGCGCGGTGTGGGCTCTCATAGCAGGCGGGAGCTTCTACGAGCTGTGCTCTCAACACGAAAAAAAAAACGTTGCTCAAAGTGTACCTTGATAGGCCGTGCTCTATTACTCTAGCGTTTTGTAGAGTTACGTGAGATCATCTCGAAGTTAGTTGACAGCCAGCCTCACTTCGTATAACATGACAATGTGTCGCTATGGCCTCGCCACAGAACACTTGGTCACTTAGCAAGTGCATGTTTGCCGCAACTATTATTTCTCCTAAAAATGCTGGCCTTGCTTCGTAAAACATTCGAATATGTTGCTGTCGCATTCATTGCTTCGCCCTTTTGGCGAAACTGTGACCTTTTATTCTACATCGTGGCCCCGCCGCGGTGGTCTAGTGGCTAAGGTACTCGGCTACTGACCCGCAGGGCGCGGGTTCGAATCCCGGCTGCGGCGGCTGCATTTTCGATGGAGGCCGAAATGTTGTAGGCCCGTGTGCTCAGATTTGGGTGCACGTTAAAGAACCCCAGGTGGTCTAAATTTCCGGAGCCCTCCACTACGGCGTCTCTCATAATCATATAGTGGTTTTGGGACGTTAAACCCCACATATCAATCAATCAATCAATTATTCTACATCGTGCTCTGTCAAACAATGTTTCAACATGCTAGGTTGCCACACTGTATCTTCGTTGAATTCAGTATTGAAGAAATGCGAGCAAAATCACGGAACACCAGATAGAAGGTAGAAGCTCACAATGCTGGAACTGGTGTTTTATTGAATGGAACACTACTGCCATATAATCAGCACTTAGCATTGTTGCTGCTAATATTTGAAAAGAATTCGGCTAGTTGAGATGCTGTTACTTCTGAGCTTGCAGGGCACGATTTAACGAGGAATTGCTTTTGAATACCTCCTTCTTTGAACTCAGGTATTCCGCTGTATTCCATCGGACAGCGTGCGTACATTCGCTGGCCTGCGGGAGTTCACTGCCATCCCTGGTCTGGCCGAGACTGACCCCGACCAGGCCCGCAACGAACTGCGAGAGGTCAGAGGGCACCTGGTCGACATGCCCATGGATTTTCTTGCCGAAGAGAGCCTCACGCCGGCTGCCGGCACCAAGGAGGCTCTTATGCCCATTGTTCTTTGGACCTGAAGGAGGCACTTCAAGGTTCTGAGCATCGAACACTTGTGCACAGGAAGGTTCAGTGTCCGTACATTGAAAATGCTTTCTTTGTCTTCCCACCGCGTGAGACACGACGAGGGGGCATCAGTAGTCTTACTGATATGCATAAATGCTTGATCGTCAAGCTGTGCAACCTTATGGCGCTTCGAGCTGTCAGCATGTGCTGACCGTGTGTTTTAGTATTGAGTTTGGTGGTGCCTGCCCACTGAAATATTTGTCTGACAGTGGCTGTGAATCGGTGGGTACTCAAATGCAAGGCAACACGTGAATATGCAAGAAGAGCCTGTATACCGACGCAGGAAGCAGGTCAGAAAGATCACACACCCAAACTCTGTGCGAAGTTTGCTTCTAAATTACTTACGTCCACTCTCATTGCTATTGTGTGTAAAAGGTCGGCAAGGAAGACTATTTTACCACATTTTTCTGGCTTCCTGCTTTCTTATGATGAGAGGAGGCAGAAGAAATACGTAAAATTCTAGTTTTGATATGCACATGTGGGGCTTCCTATTTGGCTAAAATCAAGGCTTGCTCAATTCGAAAGTACCTGCATTTTCGTACTCACGTATTTTCAGCAACAATGAAGAGACTTCTTCATCGACATTCATCTATGCATACTTTATTACCTGTTGCAGGTTCATTGAGAAACAAGTCATTATAACTACCATCTTTATTTCGCGTTCTGTTGCCGTTTTCACAGTGCAATTGCTATGAGAGTACTATCCTGAGATGTCTAAATTTTACCCACAGTCTGCATAATTATAGTGACTTTGGTACTCTCTAGCTATCATGTCACAGTTACTTTGAAGGTTATCACTTGTGTGGAAACATTTGACAATCAAAAGTAACAACACTCTATTGCCTTGCTACATAGGTCTCTTTAACAGACTTTTCTCCTGCATAAGCATACAAGACAGTGGTATATCATTCAATTAGAGCTTAGTTTCTGTGTAAAGCACCTGCAGTTGTCATGAGTCATTGGCAAACATGTCGTGTACCTGAAAAAAAGTTGTTACGTGCAAAGTGCACTATCTGAAAAGTGTGGATCTAAAACTAATAATCAGATGAGCGCGTCAGACTTGGAAGATCTGGCTGATTTTGGGAAGCTCCCATCTTCGCAGTTCAGTTGCGAAGGTGTATGTTAGCTTACAGAAGTTGAAAAGGGGGGATGAGTGGTGGTGCGGTTGTCACCTGCTAGCCCTCGTGTTGTGTAGGTGGAAGCCTGCAGAATCAGATATCTGAGCTTCATCGTGGAAGGTCGAAGCTGACGGGAGGCCTATTTCAGAAAGTGCTGACTGCAGCTCTTGCATCGTAAGGTCAACTACCGATAAACATTGTACTGATATATGGAGAGTGGTTTAACTACATACAAATTGAATATGAGATGGCCCTTCGGTATGAGAGTAGAGATTTATAATAAGCGCTTTAAAGCTCTAAGCTTTACTACTGCTTTCAGGTATTGCTTGACTGGGCTTGCTATTATTCCATTAAAACTTATCAAGAGCCTCGGGTGAGAAGATTCTAAGAAAAGAAATGAACACCTCATTTGATCTTTCTGTTGCTACTTACAATAAAATATCAGCTTTGAAACCTCTGAAAGCCACTTCTCAATGTTCTTTTGTTGAATAACATGAAGATAGCTCTTGTGCAACTTTCACTCAGTGTACCTGCTTTCACATCTTGGGAAAGAGATGACAAAGCCAATCTGAAGGTTTCTTATGGTATTTTAGGTGTGAACTTATGTAAGTGCTGTTGAAAGCCACTTCAGAGGCTCTTCGAGTTGCTATCTTCTTTTTGCTTTATCTGGTCTCTTTTCCATGCAGTCTACTCTAACGATATATTTGGCTACTTGTGGGTAAATTGTATATTTCCTTTCCAAGATCTTCAGGGATGTATGTACACTATAAATACGTGCGAGATTTTTTCCCTTTGTTACTTTTAGTGACTCGTGTGTGACATTTTCATTCGCTCATAGTAATATAGCCTGCCTTCATATTCAAGCCATAATCAATTTATAACAGATTCTCTCTTTAGTGGTATCATTTTTTTTTTGCGCCGAGAACGTTCGAATGAAGTTCAGCCATTAAATCTCAATGTAAAAAGAAACAGTCGGCCCCTAAACTTCCAGACAGCTTGCCGGCTCCTCCTTACAAAGCAGAATCTCAGAACTTGTGCTAGACATACTGGACGGAAATGTTCTACACCAGAGCAACGCAATGTGTTGCTGGAGACCGCACGCTTTGTCCGAGAAACGGTGGCTACATGGGTTGGTTCGTGGAGCTCACGCTCGAACAGAGATAAGACCCCCTATCTCAGAACCTTTGTGAAATCTACCCGTACTCGATAGCGACAATATGTCACACCATCAATGAATGGCCAAACCCTTAACAAACCGTCACCCGAAGCTTGCGATGCGAAAATTCGGAAAGCTTCGAAGAATTCAAACACACACTTATCCAGCACCTCCTACAGTAGGGGCACACAATTTGGCCTCGCGAGTTCCGTGCAGATCGTCTTTGGAGCCGAAAGTAGCCATCTCTCTCCCACGTACATTGTATTGCGGAGCCAATGCTTCAATTGTAAATTTTCTAAGCGAGAAGCAACAAAATGCAGTCATTGGCCATGATCCTCGTATGTGTGGACCTGAAGTTCTAAAGAGGCCTGCTGAGCCAACCGGGCCTGGTGCATAGCTAGAATATCTGGAGACCCGAGCACCGGTTCGCGCCACAACTCATAACACTTTGTACAAATATTTTTACTGTTAATACATTACAAGGAGCTCTCATAACAAGCAACAAAGTAGGAAAACAGAATCTATACAGAGATATGCTGTTCACATATTCGCTGGTGGTCTTTCTCCAAGTTCCTGCAAACATTTTCAGTCATCTCGTAAGTCAGTGGCTGAAACATGAGTTTCGCTGCTCCGGTGTTCTTGTAACCAGGAGATGTGTTTTGCCGGTGTCGGACTGTTTTAAGGCGACCACTATCCCATCAATTCGTCATCGTGTTTGTCGGCGTGAGTGTTTAATGACATGCGTAGGACTTGGACTAAAACAATTTGAAGGGGACCTGTTGTTTAGCTTTTTATTTTTAATTGGTTCCACTGAGTACATTGAAGCCCTTCAAGGGAACAACTTCCAGCAAGGCGGCCAGTGCCATTGTTTGAGTGGAATTACCAGGGATGCATTGCAGAGAAGAGAACGATGACGCTGTGTTGCTGAAGAATGCAGACGAAGAACAGCTGTATAGGCTGTACCATTACCTGCATTCGGTTTTGCAGTTTTGCATCACTTACTGCAAGCATGTTTCGAGTGTCAAAGAAGGACGTCCAAGGACTTGAGGCCTAAGTAGTCATAGCACCTGCAAGACACACTTGCTGTTGTGCCTAATTGATAATTGTGACATATACACTAATATATTCGGTAATCTCGTTGTCGTAATGCCTAGCTATTAAAATGTGTGTGTGTCACCTAGCCTTGCGGAAACAATGGACGCCCAATGAGCCTAACTCAGGAATTGCAGTAGCCATATAATGGCTGCCAGCCGCATGCATTTCATGTGCCGTCTCTCCACAGCTGGATTCTACTGACGAGGAAAAACGCATTGTCTTTTGATGCTTGTGCCAGTGAAGCTTTAGCTATGTGCCACAGTCGCAGAAGCAGCTACGCTGATTTTATATTGCCCCGTGTATGTTTTGCAACCACGTGTGGGGCAATTAGGATAGAAAGGCTTTCGGCATACGCACAGCAACGCTGCAAGTAAGAGCGTATAATAAAGTTATCGACAGGAAAAAGATGCAACGATATGGCTTAAAGCTTTCAAGGCTGTCTCCCTTTGTTATCTGGAAGGGAGAAGGAAGGGGGGGGGGGGGCGTTGTGTCTTCAGTATTTTTTTTTGCTGCACGTTTGCGCGCACCTTTTTTTTTTCTTCTGCTCAGCTACCATGGCGCTTGAGCTTTGTCAAGAAGTTTGTATGCTGTTGAAGTGTCCCGACATGACATTTACAGTGGCGTTAAACGTGGAATTCTATCGGACACATTTCACTGAACATTGTTTTGATGCGTCTTGAATTACTCATCTGGCATTGTTATGACTCAAAAGCGACGAAACCTTTTGTTAATGTTGTTGTGGTGATCTATACTCCAGCGAGATATTATTCAAACCAGAGCGCACATAGAGTGAGGACAAGCATAGTTATCTAGTCTTGAGAAGATTTGAAACTTTTGAAACTGGCTTTTTTTTTTTGCTTAATGAACTTCCTCCTGGTATTTCAAAATTGTTCACAACGCGTCATGTAAAACACTGATACAATATTACCCGCATGAATATTTTCATTGTTGATTTAATTGCATTCTGTATTGTCCAGAATATTCAGAACTAAATTGTAGTAATACTATTTCATAGCCGACAGATAACTTCTTTTTGTTCTTGTGCAAGTGTCTGTAAAAAATAAAAATAACCGAGGTTTATTCTATCTATTAGGTTCCGATGTTTTCTTCTTCTTGAGGCTATTTGTTCGATGCCTTTATCTGGTCAATAATTCCCTGTATGTAACACCGGGTATTATTTTTATGTTTTACTATATGTATGCTCACATCGCCTTATCAGTGGAATGGAGAGTTGCAACAATTGTAATCTATATGTAGGCATGGTTTAGAAAGGGCCTGCCCTTGTTTTGGTTGCCGCTAACAACGTCGTAAGTGTTCAGAAAAACTTTCAGCACAAACGTTCATTCATTAACATGCCTCAGCATACTTCTTTGTACTGTACTGTGTGCTGCGTTATTTCTCTATCAATCATTCGTAACCTCATTGTGTTGATGTTGCGTAGGTCATATTACGTTGTGTAACATTTAGTAATATATGTTGACTTAAGCAAGATTATGTCTATTACATGAAATGTCTCTTCTGCTGTATACCGTTTTTCGCTTTATAAGTTTATAAACACTGCGTGCTGTTGAACATGTAACTTCGACTATAACTTTCTACTATAGAAAACACTGGATTGTTATTTGATTAGTAATGTTAATTGGTTATACAGTGTAACATAGAGTGAAGTGACATTGTTGTATTATCTTCTGAAATTCCGAGTTTCTCGTAGTTTTGCCTGTCATGTCTAAGTATTAGATTTACTTGGAATTTAGGAAAACCTTCTGGACATCCTGTTCTACTATCTTCATCTTGTCTTGAATATTGCACCAGGGTCTGTCTATCATCTTACTTGTACGTTATCATGACACCATATTTGTGGTGCCTCTCAGGCTCATGTTGACGAAAACCGTTTTGGCATACGCAACTATTTCTTTGAACAACCTGACGTATTCCTGTAAATTTTTGATGTCATATGTGTCTCTGTGTATTCTCATTTGTACTAACCTATTCGAAAAACAATGAAGGCTTCCACTATGTGCCATATGCGAGGACCTGTATGTGCTTTGTTGCTTGTTTTTTTTTTTCATGAAATCATCTTTGGTGCAACCATCAAGTCTTTACACTGCCCTCAGACCATGTCCATCGGTCTTGCTGTTCTTCAAGTGCTCCACTACGTTTTTCCATGCGTTCAGTTCTTTGTCAACAAGCTGAAAAAAACATTTCAAGAACAAATAGGTAGGCGTCGTGTCAAATTTCTGGTCCTTGTTTCTTGGCGACAATCAAGGAAGAGCCAGAGCGCTGACTACAACACTTCTGACGGTGCAAGCACCTTCAAGTGCGGGTAATCATGAACAGCGGGTTGAAAGCTGACTGGGGCTGGATTCTCAAGCTTTTATCGCGATAGCAATTATATGGACAATCTCGGCTGGTTTTTGCCGTAGCCGCCGTCTTTACATACATACATACATACATACATACATACATACATACATACATACATACATACATACATACATACATACATACATACTACATACATACATACATACATAACGCGTACATACATACATACATACATACATACATACATACATTACATACATACAGACATACATACATACCTACATACATACATACATACATACATACATACATACATACATACATACATACATACATACATACATACATACATACATACATAGGGAAAAATTCGCTAGCCTGCACTTCCGGACGAACATCGCCTTTCCAGCCGTGGTCAGCCGTGGTCGTCTGCGCGCACGCTTATTCGTGAGCGAAGAAAGGGGGATGGGGGCGCTTATAGTTGCCGCGCTATCGCGGCATTGATCAGCGTGCGGCTCTTGCCCACGCAGGAGGCGGGAACTTCTACGGGCGGTGGCGCCCTTGACACGAAAGAACGGTGCCGAAATTGTACCTGGAGTGACCGTCCACACATAGATGCGCTCTACGCATAACAAATGGCCACGGGCGGCGACACACGACGTACAGCACTTCGTACCATCACGCCCTGCCCACGGGAGGCGCTTATCAACAACGCCGACACTACACACGAGCCTTTTTGTGGTCATCTAGTGTGGCCGTGCCGCAGGAAACTTCGGTTACTTAGCAAGCGCATGTTTACTACAATTATTGTTGCTGCTAAAAAATGCTCGCTTTGCTTCGTGAGACATCTAATATGTTGCTATCGCATTCATTACTTCGCCCTTTT